AGATACCATGCAGCCTCTCCCTCAGATGAATATACAAATGATTTTAAGGTGCTTGAAAAACTTTACAGGCCCAATAGATTGCATTGATTCAATCAATTTTCGTTCTGTGACAGTTGCAGGTATGGAGTCTAGTATGCCTGGAACCATCTTTAGTTTTTTGCAAATTACCACTAGTATGAGGAATTGTGATTCCACTCATGACTCCAGTCATTGTAAATACCAATGAAGAAACATAGATTTCTAATTGTTGCCATGATATGATTTTTAACTTGAGCACGTGAAAGTCGTGCATGTATGTGTTTCCGCGGAAGCAAGAATGAATGCATGATATAGCATGTGTTTTTGGGGCATAAGGGATTTGATACAAAAACCTGATGATAGGGAATGCTTATTCTCAATTGGTTCTGAGGATGAGAGGGTTTGGTTCAGGGTCGTTGCGGCAGGTGATCCGAGTAACAGAGTATTAGGAATGATTTGGAATAACAAAGATTGTACCATACATAGATCGAGAAAGCACAGCTATTAAACCGTATAGCTTTATGATTTCAAATATTGATTGGCAGACTTACAATTTTTCGCACTTGCCAATGAAGGGCAATTCGGTAGAAGCATCTGAAATACCACAGAGAATTCCAGAGAAATCACAAACAAGAAAGAGAGCAAAAAGACAGCATCAGGTACAAGGTTGACATCTTCCCCGATGCAAAGAAACAGAGGGAGAATTGGCAGAATATGAGGAGGCAAAGGCTATATCTGGACCTGTTTAATAATTAAGGAAAAAAGCTTAAGCCATAGATCAGAGCCACTCGGTCCTTTGATATTATCATGAGCTTGATACTATTGTCAAGGGCACCAAAAGTCCAAAACGATGATCTCTGTAGATGCCTTACTCCTGTCTCATAAGAATTGCCCTATCGTCCCACGGACTCGTGAGCCAAACAACAGAAGACCTTGGAATCAAGTTTCCGCTGTGGAGTTCCTAAGGTTGACGAATTCATCGACGCATTGCTCCGGCGACAGAACGAATTCGTTTCTTGTCTGTATATTGTGAATGATCGTAGATATGCGTTGGAGCAATTCTTGCCACCAAAGCTCCTGTCACAACAGAGTTTCTGCTCATTGTCCCAAGATCAACTTCTTTAGTGATGAATTGAGGTCTGCACGGCACCGAACGCAAGCCATCAGGTAAACGAAGTGTTAGCCGACGAGTAAGAATGCAGAGTCTTATTCTGCTATCATCAAAGTGTGGCATTGATAGGTCCATCGTTTTGATGCTTTGTATATGATGACGGGGAGACAAAAGCACCTCACAAAAAGGCTAGGTGCTGTGAAGTAGTCTTCTCTTTTCGCTTTATTTAAATGCCACTTTTTGGGGTTTCCGGTACATCACAGAGATGAATCAAAATTACTGGTGAATGAGGGGTTGAATATTGTTGGTGAATAGGAAACAGGCGATTGCCCACTAATGCTTCATTGGGCCTAGCGCAGTAATACCTTATCCTCCTTATCTTCACAACGTTTTCCATTTTGTATCACCGAAGCAAGCATCGAGAAGCTCCAAGATGGCAATATCACAGTTTCAACCGCTTCCACCGAAAAGAGTTGATTTCACCGCAGGAAATATCGAGGCTTTTTGACATGGATGGACAAATGCCGAAGGGAACCTGCCCCTTGAGAGATAACGCGACATTATCGCTATCGATATGGTTTCTTGCGTGATTGATCTCTGGACCTCGACGCAGAAACATATAAAGTACATAGAATTCCCATCTCTGAGACTCATTTGGTTCTTCCTTTACACATTTATTCCGCTTCATCTCAGCACATCGCAGAATGCACAATAAGATGCATAGTTGTTTTCAAATGCATTGATTTTATGGTGAAGTTAAAATGGTAAGCCATTACAATATTAAGTGGGAAGAATTAATTTTAAACACCCAGCGGTCATACACATCAATCTCATCTCATTTTCCAGCTTCCAGTTCCTATTCCAAACTTTCCAAGCCGTCCAAACCTTAACGTTCCATCATTATTACAACCTTCATACTATTATCATTGATCCGATTACTTAGAAGGCAAAGACAGCGGCGACACCGAGAACAAGAGCACCTGCAAAGCTAGCTTTAACTTGGGCCCCAGCGCCGGTGTATGGAACTGTCGACGAGGTAGGTGATGGACCAGTAGCGGTAGCGTTGGATCCAGAGCCACCAGTTGGTGCAGCTACGCCCGAGGTGACTGTCGTGGCGACAACAGATGATACTGGAGTCGAGGCTTGGGAAGAGACGGGAGTGGAGGCGGCGGAAGAGACCACAGGTGAAGACCCAGCAGCAGATGAAGAAGGAGCGGCAGCAGAGCTGCTCGGTTCGACAGCCGAAGAAGATGGAGCCGCGCTGGCAGAGCTAGCAGAAGTTGGTGCAGCAGATGAGGCAGGAAGAGCAGCACATGCGGCAGCAGCTGCAGCTGGAACGGCTAAACTGGAGTCAGTTGGATTGATTTGAGGATCAAAATATACTACTCACTCAAAGCGACGGTGATACCACAGGAACTGATGACACAGGTTGTAGCAGCGTTTTGAATACTCGAGACGTTGTCAGGTAGACATTGGCAAGCTTTATCAGTAGCTCCACAGGTGGTCTCTGATTTAACCGCATCGTCGATACAAGATTGTGCGCAAGTTGGAATTCCGCTGTCTTGAGCAAGAGCCAAGCTGGCAAGAGCCAAGACTGAGACGATGGTGAATTGCATTTTGATGGTTATTTGAGTATAAGGATTGCCTTAAAACGAGTGTTTGGCAACAAAAATGATTGACGATATACAGATAGTCTTGATGTTTGGTTTTGAAAGAAGGTTGGAGAAGTAAGTCACCCAGAGCTGCAGATGACCGCACTTATATATCTGTGAACAAGTCTAATACGAGAGTCAATTTAGGAAGATATTCTACAATGTCTAATTACTCCACATCTCGTAGTAAATTACCAGCTAAGGGACAACCAACAACTCGTTTCCTATTTCGTAACAATACCCGTCAATGGTGCCAACGGGTGACAAATAGGGTATCGAGTCAGCTTGGAGAAACCCGGCCACTTGCTTGTGCGGAGAACGCTGTTCGATCGAAAAAGCAGGATCAACAAGCTCCCAAAGAGCTTGAATTACGGCAAGGGGAATGTCCAACATGTCCACTAAATATAAAGCAAGTGTTACATACTTAGGGTAATGTGTGGCAGTGATTGGACATGGCTATTATCGATCAATCAAATTTAAGAGGCAACCTCTCATTGTGATGCAGGAACAACATTACTAACATTTACTGCCGAAAGAGCCTTCCAATGGCACTTACCATTTCAACTATTTCAACTGTTGCCAATACTCAAAGTTCGTATTCCTCTTACTATACTACGAAAAATCTAGAGGCGGGAGGAGTTATTGGATCCAATTTGATTGGGGCAAAGTCTGGAGATTCTGGGGTATGACAAGGATGATTATGCACAGTCTGGGGTAATACGACAACCAACCTATACTACACTACACTTTACTAACCGTATCGGCAAATTTCTTCCGATACCGAGGAAGACATCTTTTTTGACATCTGATCTTACTTACAAGTAAGAAGTTACCACTTAAGCCACTCGAGCCACTAAAGCTTCTGGGTCGCTTTTCCTACCGAAGTTCCGAATTTAAGCTATTGCTTTTCTGGAGAAAAATTCCACCTCTTCCTCCTTCGCAACATTTTGGCAACAAGAATATTCTTCGAATGCATGCAATCATCCGAATACCAAAGATTTGACAATATATTTTCCTTTGAAGCAAGGCTTCGCAGCGTACATACATGAACAAGTGTCTAGTTGAAGCTGACAAGGACAAAAGAGACTGAAAGTAAAACCCCCCAATGTTGTTTGACAAATCAAATTGAAGCAAAAGATTCACCACCACCACCAACAATCAATCGGCCCTCCTAGGTTTGTGCAAGTGTACACTTTCGGAACCCCCAGCAGATCCCCAATGAAAATCATGTGCTGGGGTTCTAACATATTGTGTTGATTTCTATTCACAGCACGAATCAAATCTTCATTTTCAGGAATCAAATCGGAAATCATCCTGGTTGCTATGCGTAAACTCGAAGGAATTTTTATCGAATCAAGAAGGTATCATACGACCTTTTAGTTTCTATTATATAATTGCAACTGAGATCTACGATCATTTGTCAGCTTCTGAACAGCATTAATTTACATACCATGGCATTGGACTTTAATGTCGGTTGTGATTCCTAGAAAGATGTTAATCTTGGATGAAGGGAGCATACGAGTTTTCGTCGAATACGATCGCGCACAATGAGTTGTTACATTGCTTGTACCTGATCTACAGTTACAGTCTGTGTTAGCTGACCGAAATAGTTCAAGGCTTTACGGAGAAGCCCGAGTAACGTGCGCGAAAAAGCAGGATATTGGAATGATGACCTTGAATTATTTTCACATGTCAAATCAACTTGATGTTGGAATCTTTCACTAACGAATTGATTGTTCTGCAAAAAATCATTTATCGGTATTGTTGTTGAGGTTTACTTTCGATTCCTCAATACCGTAGTCGCACAGACAACTCGCTATGTTTGAATTTTGAACAAACTATCAGACGTTTCACCATCAGTACGTCTCAAAGCTCGAGCACTTGTCGCTTTGAAATTGCACTGGTTTTGAAAATTCCCGAAATCTTATTTCGATCGTTCTAGTCAATTATTATTCCCTTAGTTCTGTCTGTCTAACCTTCGTCCTCCCCGCCAGTTGTCGGGCGATGCACATAAATTGCACATCAATTCAAAACAAACAAATCGCCGAACTCCTGGTATCAAAAAAGCAAATGTCAATTGTATCGGGATTCGGGATATACTATCACGAAATAGATGCGTGGCATCCTCCTGTACTCTGTTAGTGACGATATATTTGATGCTAGGACAGTGTACAAACATTGTTGCTTGGGCGAGTTTGGTTTCGACTCAGCTAGCCATGTTATTGTTCTATACTTGATCTCGATATATTTCCATCGAACATCTTTGCGTATCCGCGAGGAGATTCACGACCAGAACGGAGCAGTCCAATGGAAGTGTCTTTCAGAGTAATAAGGCTACCAACTGGTTGACTCTTCCTCATTCCCTTAAACCATGCGGTCCCTTTTTTCATTGGCTGACTTCGCCATGTCATACTATTTTCCTCGTTCTGCTCAGTGCTTTATGTCATTAGCATTCTATCTTTGCTTCGATATATATGTTGCTGTGTATACTTTGCTGAGTATGGTACAATACCATATTGCTTGAAGAATTTGTTCTTTTGTGATATTTTTCTCTGCATAACTATTTCACTGCTAACAGAACAGGCTCTCGTAAGATTCGTATCTACGGTTGATCTTATGCTCAAGTCGTGTCGCGCGCCGTCGTTACCAGTTGACTCACATCGGCCACCTTGATTTGAACAAGTCGACTGGTTTGAACGCTTGGATCGAAATTGGATGGTTAGTCTATTAGGCATCTCGATTATTGCCAATCTTTGGTGTGAAATTATCGCAAAAAGCCAACGAGAGGGTCGTTTTTCAAGAAACTTCGAGGATGGATAAGCAAATATTCTTGTGCGGATAGTGAAAAGCTACCCTGAAAAAGTTCCCACCACACATAGGTCTCGCCCACAATACACAGACGCGTCGAAACCCATCGTGTCTGTAGCAACACAGTATAATAGCATGATATTATTACTTATTGCATGATAGTGCACAGTCGTCTTGATCTTTGGACCCCTCCTATTTGCTGACAGAGCGGATAAGGCGGAGTCTGTGCATTCCGGTGCATGGTTCGCTCGATGACTTTTGAGGGGCAAGGTACTTTTCAAACAGTTTAGCATCTCATGTATTCATGCCAAAGCTTTCAAAGACGAATTAAATCCACCTGTCAGACATAAAATTTCCGATCTCTCTCACAATATGTTTCGTTTATTGTTTGAATATTGGATTTTCGTCCCATAACGAACTACTATATAGAATTGCATTAAAGACTTCTTACGTGGAGTGTTGAATAATGAAAGTGCATTATGGTTTGTGTATTTGGTGGGAGGATTATATTTTTGCTTTGCTTCTCGTTAGCACTGACGAATAGGGTAAGGAGTGCGAGTATGGAGCGAATCGACAAGTTTGTCTGCCATTGTCGTCTATTGATTGATCTCTTGACTTTTGCATCTTTTCCTTCACTTAATTTTTCATTTCATACTCACTTTGTAAAGCGCCCTTGATGGGCTAGCTAACGACTCATCAATTTTCTAATGTTTTGTTTCTGCGATGCTAGATGGAGGATATAGATTTCCCTTTAAAATTCTGAAAAGCAACATGAATAGAAAAGACGAAGATCAGAGTCAGGACAGTCCATTCGGCATACCTCAATCTTCAAATAATGATGGGACAAAAAGTAGTAATAATATACCCCCCGCATCGTCATCTACAAGCTCTCCTGGTCTTGAACCTCATCTCATTGCCTCTCCATCAAAAGGTTTAGACCCAGGCTATATCATCGGCATACTAGTTGCAGTTTCTGTCGCCATCTTTATCATCATAGCTCTAATCGACATCCTCCTTCTTTCTTCCCGTATCCAGAATTCGATATTGAGGAATAGATTCCTGAGATTAAATGGTAGACGGCAATCTGGCTCTTCGCAATACTACTCTCGACAGAATGAGAAATTAGATAAGAAACCTTTACCTACAATCCCTGATCCGGCGTATTTTTCAAAGGATATTAGAGCGAGTGATAGGAGGAGGAGTGACTTTTCGGGATACTCGGAGTCAAGGTACTCGAGGAGTATGTCTTTTGATAGTAGGGTGGGATGGGGTAGGGATGAAGAGGAAGGGTATGCGAATAGTTTCATTAGGGGTGGAAGAGAGTGGGACGAGAAATCTATGAGATCGATTGCGAGATCTGCGAGGCAAGAGAGGGGGGGTAAAGATAATGGGGTAATCAGGCCGGGCATGGGAGTTGGGAAATGGGACGATGAGGTGGAGGGGGAATGGTATTCGGTGTATGAGGAATCGATCTATGCGGATGATGGACGGGAAAATCCGATTCCTGATACTTATAATCCTTCCTATCCATTTCATCCCCCTCGTGTATCTCAATTTACAGACCGCAAAACACAAAAACCATACGACGAAGAGAATACAATGGGATTAACAACAAAAGAAAGAGCAGAGATAAAAAGAACGAGAACTACTCCATACAAATATGAAGGAAGAATTAAAGCGGGAATGGGCGTGCAAAAAAGATATACGATGATTTTTGTGAGGGAGGTGGAGGAGGTGAGGAGGGCAATGGAGAGAATGGAGAGGATGGAGGAGAGGGATAGGATTAATTTTGAGATTTGGAGGAGGTTTTGGAGGAAGGGGGGTGAAGGAATTGGGGGAAAATAATGATGGAGGTAGAGGGAATATTAGGGCAGGGACTGGGAAGCAGAGGAAGTAGGGGAGAGGGATCTTGGTTGAGGGCTCTGAGGGTTTGAAGTGACTTGTGGAGTGTGGAGTGTGGGGTGTGGGGTGTGGGAGGAGGATTGAAGAAGAGAATGGTTCTTGTATATAGTGATTTGAACTAGATTTGGGATTTGAAGGGGGATCGGAGTGGTAACTTGTGAGCGACCAGCTGGATATCTGGAGCTCGCTTTAATAATACGATATATGATTGGTAGGCTCATAGGAGTTATTCGCCTTTATGCGTTGACAAATTTAGTGGATCACGACACATAGCATACTATTTCATTATTTATAACATCGTTCATTCACACCCACCATTTCTCAAGAATATCCTTTCATCTCTAGAGCGTGATTAACAAAGTCAATTCTGATTTTTAACGAGAAGTCAACTGGTCAACTCTATTCCGACTAATTACTCAAACAAGAACTGCACTACTCACTCTAAATACAATCCATTTTCTCATCCAAAACTCCAAATCCCCCCCCCCCGAAAAACAACATCCAATAGAAAAGTATCATTCAGCATCACTCTAACCTATATGTCCTCCCCCAAGCTCCCATTCCAAGTCTCTATTCCATACTCTATCCGCAAGCTTCCAAACACTACCCACACCATAGTACCTACATATCCAATCCACTATCACCATAATAGACACCTACCTACCTACACTCTCCAAACCGACCCAACCCAAAATCCTCCTCCTCCCATTCCAGTAACCTATATATGCAATTATGCAATTCTCAAACTTCCATCGACATTACGTGTCTCTAGAGTAAATTCTAGACAAACCTCAAACCACCCACCACCCGATCGGATCGGATTGGATTGAAGCTAGCTAGCTAGATACATACATACATACATACATACATACATACATATCCAATAAATAAGTAAATAGATAAACAAATAAGGAAGTAAGATCTGAGCTAATATCTAATATCTGATATCTAACACCCAATACCCAACACTCAATACCCAACACCCAATACCCAACACCCAACACCTAACAACCAACACCTACCACCCATCAAGCACGCACGCACCTCTAGAACACGCACACAATGAACAAACCATCGAGTTTGCGAGTTCGCATTTCAAAGCCGGATTCATGCGTGAGATTTGATAAGACGCCTTTATTTCCCTTGGTGTTTGTTGGTGGTTGAAAATTGGGGGTTTGACCAACTGGAGAGGGCTGGAGCGTTGATGACTCTCGGAAGCTATGTTGATGATCTAGTAATCCCCATCAGCAACACACCACCATCCACCAAATCACCATCCGCTGAATCACACAAGCATACAAACCCACGCAGCAATTTATAAAGAGAAGATATTTCAATTCGATTCTATTCTATACTATGTGAAAAAGTAATGAGAAGTGTGATATCATCAGATAAATTTCTATTCCCTCCGCATTCCATCCCATCCTATCATGAATCAATCAATCAATCCATATTTCCGATCATCTCTTTCTCCCTATCTATCATCTCCACCTCCACCTCCAAATCTATAATCAAATTCCAATCCCATCTTATATCAAGCCATGAAGCTTGAGCCTAATATAATCCCCCACCCCACCCCCAAAACGCCATGGCATTGCCAAAAAAGATCTTTTTCCATCTATGGTCTCGTGTCCCCATTAGAAAGTGAAAAAGAGGTCAAAATTCCCATGAGGTATCTCTCCGTAACGCTGATCACATCTGCAACCATTAATAGGCTTTTAAAAAAAAGTTCAAATCCCTTTTCCATATCAAACATTCCCTTTCTCTCCCAAAGTCCCATGATTTCTTTACTCATGTCTTCCCAAACTCTGCAAGTTAACCAATTCCGAGTATCTACCTCCCTTATGAATAAGTTCTGTATGTGTACCACTCTCTACAACTCTTCCTTGATCAAAGACATAGATACAGTCAGCCTTTTGAATTGTACTCAGTCTATGCGCAACAGCAATCGTAGTTCTTCCCTTTGCCGCCTTATCCAATGCTGCTTGCACAACATGTTCACTCTCCGAATCCAAAGCACTGGTAGCCTCATCCAACAACAATATTTTAGGATCACGAAGTAAAGCACGAGCGATAGCAATTCTTTGTTTCTGACCACCAGACAACATGCTACCCTTGGAACCAACGATTGTGGAAAATCCATCCGGAAGTGACATGATGAAATCGTAGATATTAGCTTCACGACATGCAAACTCGATTTCGGAGTCAGGAACATCTTCGCGATCGGCTCCAAGAAGCATATTCTCACGGATCGTGCCTTGGTAAAGAGTTGGTTCTTGAGATACGAGAGCAATGTGCGAGCGGTAATCGTTGATGTTCAAAGTGGAGATTTCTTTGCCATCGACATAGATACCGCCAACGAGAGGATCATAGAAACGTTCGAGAAGAGCGATGGTGGTGGATTTACCGCAACCGGAGGCACCAACCAAGGCAACGTATTGCCCAGGCTTGACTTGAAGGTCAAGACCACGGAGGACTGGCTGTTCCGGACGAGTGGGGTAGCGGAAATGAACATCACGGAACTCAACATATCCTTCCATGGACTCCATGCGCTCTCCATCCTCAGACCAAGAGTCAATAGTGGGTTTGAGATCAAAAAGAATCTTAAGTTCCTGGGCGGCTTGCTTGGCTTTACCCATGTCCGCTAAGATTTATTAGCATGATACTTCATATGATAGATGAATAGAACAACTTACGTGCGAAGGAAAAGATGGTTCCGGCAGATTGAGCACCAAAGACGACAGCCGAGAAACAGACGAAGAATTGGAACATGGTGTATTCCTTGTTGGCAATGCGTTGACCACCATACCAAAATCCAAGTGCAACACAGAGGAACATCAAAGATTGAGATGCAGCATAAAGCAACGAAGACTTCAAGATTGATCTCAGACTACTTTGTTCTTGAGCCTTGAGGGAATCGGTGTAGTGAGCGAGAACATCCTCTTCTCTAGTCAAGGATGCAACTGTTCGGATAGCACCAGTAGCTTCACAAGCATAACTGGCACTCTTCTCATATGCCTTCTTC